ACGACCCTCCCCCAAGCTGCAGAATCAACCCTCTCCTCTCCCCAAATCGCAGGAAAATAGCCAGAGGGAAGAAAAAAATAAGCTATTTATTTTCTGTAAAGGCCCCGCGTTGATTTTAAAATGAAGACGACCCACGTTTTTAAGGGGACAGCCCCCTTTCTTAAAAGTGGGGAGGGGGAGGTCGTTTGGGAACGTGGCTCGGGTGGAGGACACAGCCACCTCTTCTCCCCCAGCCCACTTCGAAGCGCCCAATGTAAACCCCCCCCCCCGCTCGATCAGAATTAAACTAGAAAGGGGAAGGATTTTTCCCCATTCGCCCCCCCCCAAATTAAATTCCCTCTCCCCCTCTGAGGCCCAAAGAAACCCAGGGGACCCCCCCCCCGCGGCCCAGTTCGGCAGACCCTCCGAGGGACGAGCGGAGGGGGGGGCGCGGAAGCCCAGGAAAGGGGGCCGACTGCCCCCCCGGTTCGCTTTCGTTTCTAACCAGAAGGCGCCATTTCACTCCCTATTTCCCATCTCCAAATATTTAGGAAAATGCTGAAAAAAAGACCACCTTCCTTCCTTCAAACGCGGCCCCGGGGGCGAAATTAAACTCGCGGGGTTTCATTGCCCCCTCCCCCCAATATATACATATACATATATATATATATATATATATATATATATTTTAAAAAGGAGAAAAAGTGACTGGCAGCGTCTCTTCCGCGTTCTTGGAATGCCGTTTTCCTTCCTAGTCTGCTGATGGAGAACCGGAGGAGTTGGATTCAAACAGATTCTCCCCTCCGTTTCTTTCCAAATCTTTCCTCTTTTATTTCTCTCTCTCTCTCTCTCTCTCTCTCTCTCTCTCTCTCTCTCTCTCTCTCTCTCTCTCTCTCTCCCTCTCCCTCTCCCTCTCTCTCTCTCTCTCCTATTTTTTTTCCCCTTCGCCCTTTCGGCTTCTTTTCCAAAGATAAGGAACTTTCCATTCTTTCTCCCTCTCTTTCTCTCTCTTTCTCTCTCTTTCTCTCCTATTTTTTTTTCCTCCACCCCTTCGGCTTCTTTTCCAAAGATAAGGAACTTTCCATTCTTTCTGCCTCTCTTTCTCTCTCTTTCTCTCTCTCCTATTTTTTTTTCCTCCACCCCTTCGGCTTCTTTCCCAAAGATAAGGAACTTTCAATTCTTTCTCCCTCTCTTTCTCTCTCTTTCTCTATTTTTTTTTTCTCCACCCCTTCGGCTTCTTTTCCAAAGATAAGGAACTTTCCATTCTTTCTGCCTCTCTTTCTCTCTCTTTCTCTCTCTCCTATTTTTTTTCCTCCACCCCTTCGGCTTCTTTCCCAAAGATAAGGAACTTTCAATTCTTTCTCCCTTTCTTTCTTTCTCTCTCTTTTTCTCTCTCTCTTCCCAGCAAATCTTTCCGAACGAAGCGGCGGCCTCCGGAAAGAAGGCCGGAGTGACGCCGAATTGAGGCTCGCTGCTGCTGCTTAACCGACCCCGGAAAAAAAATAAATAAATGGGGGGGGAGGCTCATTTTAACATCTGGATCTCCAAAGCGGTTTTTTTTCCCCGTGGGTGGTGCGGAGGAATCGACGCCCGGTTTTTTTTTTAAAAGAAAAGAGGAAAAAAAAATCAGAGAGAGAAGAGACGAAATTCGTTGGGAACTGCCCGGAATTCTGAATTCTGAAATTAAATCTACGGTTTTTCGGTCGTGCAGCGCGAAGGGTCCCTCTCCAAAGGCCGAGCCGAGCCCGCCGAGGCACGGAATCGCCCCCGAAACGAATTCTAAGATAAATTCTAGAATTCTAAATTCTAAGAATTCTAAATAAAAAACGAAATCGAATAAATTCCGCGCAGAGGCAAAGCGCGCGGGCTCCGCTTCCACCCAGCCGCGCAAAAACCTCTGCTTCAAAAAAAAACCAAAAAAAAAAAAAAACCCACACCAAAATAAACCAACCCACCGAGGCGGAGGTTTTTTTTTTGCTGCTCAGGCGTGCAATTGGACCAGTCAAGAAGACAAAATTATATATATTAAAAAAAAAAAACTCGAAGCCTGCCAGCGAGTGCCGAAGGCCGATTATTAATATTAAATTAGGATTATTCTTATTCCTGGCCAGATCCGACGCGTAAAGGGCTCCGGAGCTTTGGGGCTTTGGATCCCGGGCTACCTTTCCCCTCTCCCATCCGGGGGTGGGGGGGAAGAAGGAATGAAGACCCCCCCCAAAAAAACCCCTTCTCCTTCTCCGCCCTCCGAAGCCGCTAGTGGGTCTCTTTTGGGGTGCCAGGGACATTCAACGACCCTCCTCTCCGTTTTCCATGCCGACGCTGATTATGATAATTCCGGGGGGGCGTCGCGCTCCGTTCTTGGGGGGGGGCTCTGCCTTCCCGCAGGGCCCGGGCTCGGGCTGCTGGGAGAGGGGGGGGGAGCCCTGCCGGTCCGAGCCCCCCTCCCCCCAAGGACCTACCTTGCAACTTTCGCAGGTCAGCAGCCCGTAGTGGTACCCCGAGACTTTATCCCCGCAGACGGGACACAGTTCGTCCAGGTCTTCGTCGTAGGAATAATCCATCACCTCCGCGGGCCTGCGGGGGGGTGGGGGTGGGAGGAGAAGGAGAAGAGCCGGGGTAGCGCTTGTCCGGGAGCTCCCCCCTGGGAGAAAAAAAAAGGGGGGGGAAAGAGGGTGTGGGAGAGGGAGGGAGCCCCGACGAGCGGCAGCCGGAGAAGAGTGGGGGGCCAGCGGGCCGGCGGGCAGCTTTTATAGCCGGCGCGCGCGGAGGTGTGCGCCCGCTGCGCCTCCGCACCGCTTCTTGGGCGGGCGGGGACGCAAGGGAAGCCCCCCACCCCACCCCACCCCACCCTCGGGGAAGGAGGGCACTGAGAGGGCTCCCCTGGGGGGGGGTGGGCTGGGCCAGAGTCCACCCCTCCCCTCCCTTCCACCCCCACCCCACCAGCACCCAACGGGAATCGTGGCCTCCGCCCCCTTGTTCCTGCCCCCAGGTCCAGGGGAGGGGGGCAGGGTCGCTTCTGCCTCCCTCACCCCCCCCCCCACACACGGACTCAGAGCCCCGACGGAGCGCACCGGCCGCTGCAGGCAGCCTGCAGAGAGGCTGCGAGGCTGCGGGGGTGCTCTGTCCCTCCCTGGGGGGCCTGGGGGGGTCTGGGGTGGCTTCCCCCCCCCCACCCCGGGGCGCCTGGGACCTGCGCTCCGAGAGCCCACGCGGGTTCTTCTTGGTGGACGGGACCCGGTTGACCCCACGGAGCCACTTCCGAGGGGCTCGCAATGCGCAATGCGAGACCGGTACCTGGACTGATATAGAGTCGGGTAAAAGGGCGCTTGTGGCTCGGGGTAAGCCCGGGTGAACGGAGACTGGAGCCCCCGTCTCGCGGGGATTTCGCCCACGCGAGGAAAAAAGTAAACCATCAAACGTGCTGGCTTCGGCAGCAGCACGCAGGCTAAAAAAAAAATGGGAACGGTCCGGAGGAGAAGAAAAGGAGCCGATCTTACACACACACACACACACACACACACACACACACACACACACCTGGCCCCTGACTTTCTGCCCCTGGGTGACCGACTTCCCCTTTCAGCTGCCCCCGTGGGGTGTTGGGACACGGCCCCCATCGCTCCCGGCCAACAGCTGGGAAAGTCAGGATGGAAACTGCAGTCCGGAGTCTTTGGCCCGGGGGGGGGTGTTTCAGGTTGTCTAAGAGATTGCTCCACCGAGTGGCTGGGGGGGGGCTCTGACTCTTCGCCCCACCCTTTGCCAAGGTGTTCTGAAGCCTTGTTTCTTTTCCTTCCGGTGGAAGAAAGGTGCGTTAGAGATAGTACATCTCCTAGGAGAGAGAGAGAGAGGAAGGAAGGAAGGAAGGAAGGAAGGAAGGAAGGAAGGAAGGAAGGAAGGAAANGAGAGAGAGAGATAGAAAGAGTGCCAGAGAAGGGGGCAAAACACACATCCGCACAGACAAACACTTCCCAAACTGCTTAAGTCTTAACAGAATCGGCTCTGGCGTTCCAGGTTAATTGTATCACACCAAGCAAAAACTCACAAAGCCCTATTGTTGGTCTGAACCAACAATAGAGAAAACAGGGAGGGCAGGGGTGTGTGTGTGTGTGTGTGTGTGTGTGTGTGCTTCCTCTTCTGCCCTCCCCCACGATGGAATTTCCCTGGTGGGGGGCGAAGAAGCGCTCCGAGGCGCAGGACAGCACCAGCCCCCCCCTCAGAATCTGCGAGGGAGGGGTGAGAGTAAGGAGGAATCTCTGCTGACTTAAGGGGGAACACGCGGGGGGGGGGAAGAAACAAATGCCCCCCCCCAAGCACAATGGATGCTCAGGAAAACTCACAACCCTTACTAGGGCGGTGGGGGGTGTGTGTGTGTCGTCATGAACTTCCATTTGTGCAAACAAGGGACATTTCCTCCCTGCCGCCGCCTTTAGAGGCGGGAGCCTCTGAAGGTCATCCAAACGCTCCCAAAGGCCGCGCTGTGTGCCCACTGCCGCCTTCCACTTTGCTCCTCCCGCTGACAAGAAGGCTTCTCCCATCACTGCTTCTATCTTGGCACCAAACTCTGGGGGGTGCTTTTGCCTGGCCCAGCAAAGGCAGATCTTCCCCGTACAACTGTGTGTGTGTGTGTGTGTCTGTCTGTCTGTCTGTCTATCCGTGAGTGTGCCCACAATTTTTCCTTCCCAAAGGCTCTGGTGACAGAAGACAATCGGATCCCCCCCCCCAACCTCCTTGCCAGCCCACCAACAGAGCTAGAGCAGCAGTGGAAAAGCCGCTGGAGGAGGAAAAAAACAGACCCCCCCCCCCCCCCAGAGGCAGCAGTCCAGCGTGGAATCGAAAGCAAACTCCGGCGAGTAAACTAAGAGAGCCTTGGCACTCCTCCTCTCCTCCTTCTCCTCTCCTCTCCTCTCCGGCCAGGCCAGGCCAGGCCAGGCCAAACCAGCCAGCCTCTTTAGAGGTCAAAAGATCGGGGAGCCTTTACGCCTTCATCCCTTCCCACGGGAGGCAGCCTTCTTCAAATCGGGGCGCACCTTGAAAGCTAGCTGCTCAAGGATCTGGCTGCAAGGAGTTTGATTGCACTGCGGGGGGGGGGGACAGAGGCCGTCCTGGTGGCGGGGAGCGTGCACTGCCTATGTTTACACCCAGACACACACACACACACACACACACACACACACACACACAAAAGTGCAAGTCACAGTCTTGCACAATCCCCATCCAGGTGAAGGGCGCCTTTGCACTGAGGCTCCGTGTGGGGAGGGGGCGCTGCTCGCTCTCCCCCCGCCTGGCATTGTCTTCCCGTCCGGGAAGGAAGCGTTTCCTGCGTGTAAACGCAGCCGTCTCCTCCTCTGCCTGGAGGGGAAATGGCAGCCAGCGGTGGCCTGCGGGGAGACAAGCAGAGGCCTCAAACCCTGTGGCAGAGGAATGCTCGGAACCAGGGTAGCTGGAGAGAGGCAGAGTGCCCCTAAACGTAGGCAGAGTGTAAGCTCCTTCAAGGCCAGCCTGAAGCCTGCAAGGCTGAACCCGGAAGAAGTAGACAACCTTAGGCCAGTTTTTAGGTGTGCCTCTGGGAAGGGACTACTGCCCAGATGTGCAATCAGTTGGAAAGATGCTGGAGGGGCAGTCCAACATCTGGAAAACTACAGGCAGCAGCCGCCAGCCTTAGCTTGGTCAACAAGATGGCGTGGCCTTCAACAAACTTTGCAGAGAGCATGTATGGTAATAGAGGGAAGAGGGGGATAAGTCTAGAACAGGTACGGTGGACCGGTACCGGGCCGCGGCATGCCAGCAACCGGTCCGCACAAACAAGCAAAGCCCCATCTGCGGGATGCAGGCAACACACAAAACCATGCACCCTCCGGTCCACGGAAAAGCCTGTCTCCACGGAACCGGTCCCCAGTGCCCAAAAGGTTGGGGACCTCTGATCTAGAACAACGGACAAGAAGGTCAACCTCACCAAAATTGTCCCCTCTGTTCCTCTGAGGTCCCCTATGCGTGGAATTCAAGAGAGATCCAGGCAAAAATTCCACCCCATCTTCTTTTTGACAATCCCACAAGACCTCAGAAGAGGAAACTGACCGGCCCGTGTCAGTTTGCAGAAATCAATAAGGTTCCATCTCACTGCTCTAATGCCCAAGAGAGTAAGAATAACTGCTCTGGGCCTCCTCTGAAGGAATCTGGATTTTCATGGAAAGATTTGGAGAACTGTGGACAACGAAAGAATAGACCAAATTTCCGAAAAGCTGGATGGCTTCTCTCTTTCCCTGTCTCCAAACATAAAGAGTTAGGAATTCTGCTATCCGGAAGCCAAAATCAAAAGCAGGCTGGGGGACCTCTAAGCCCTTTCCTTGGGGGACCAAAATAGCTTTTCCTCTCTTACAAGGAGCCTTCTTCTCTTTTGGACTCCGGAATTTGTCATGGAGTGAAAAAGGAAAACCACAACAAAGCAACGGTCCCAAGCCTCATCAATTTCTAGCTGGCCGTCTCCTCCACGGGCCCACCTGAAAAATGGAGGTCTCAAAACATTTATCTGCTTGCAACTTGCATTATCTGCTTGCAACTTGCATTATCTGCTTGCAACTTGCATTATCTGCTTGCAGCTTGCATTATCTGCTTGCAGCGCTAAGATGTGAGTACGGTCACTTCTTATATTTTGGGGGAGATTGGCGGGTGCTAAAAACACCCTCATGCTGCTGGCGTTCAAATTCACGCGTCTCAGCCCAGCACCCCCTCTTTCTAAACAAAAAACTTTCCCTCCCTCCTGTCAGAGCAGGTTGTGGAACCCAGACTGTTGGGACCCACCATGGAAACTTCCTCAGGGGAAGTTCCTCCTGATCCAGCTGGAGAAGAAGGTAGCCCCGGTGGTGGGGGAAGAACAGAACTGGCAGATTCCAAGTCTCCCCCAGTAAGAAAGGGACCGTTGAAGGATTCTGCTTCCAGTTCAACCTATTCAGGAGGTGAGATCTTCCAGGCCACGGCCGGCCGGCCTAAATGGAGAGATTGTCAGACAATGCCACCAGCTCCCCCGTCCCACCTCACCCCTAGCTAGAGACAAGGAATTATCATCGGCAGAAGTAGATAAAAGTACAATTGTTGAAATGACCTTGGCAGTGGGCTGTTATCAATCACTTACTTGGAAAGTAGCCCTCGGATTCTCTCTCTCTCTTTTTCTCTCCCCGGCTGGTGACTCCACACCAGCTTCTCCTTAGCTGTGAAGTTCTCCAAGAGTGAACGTGGCTGAAGGCCAAAAACCTTGGAATTCGGGTCTTAATCCGGATGGAGCCACATGGAGTCCACTTTGGCGACCGGCTCGGGATCCCCCCCACCCCACTGCCAGGTAGAATCTGTGGACGCGCCGGTCCAGGCAACCGCAGCCTTTTTGCCGGACACTCGTCCAGTCCCCGCCTTCATATGGTGACCATGGTAGGGTTGAAATTCTTGCTTCATTGGCTTCCTCCACGGCCACGTGACGGTGTTAGCAACAGAAGAGAGAGGAAAAAAAAAAAAGAACCAGAAAGAAGAAAAAAAAAACAGAAAGAAGAAGAAGAAACGAAATTAAGATACA